AATAATAATAGGTAATACGATTTATAATGTGTGACAACCTTAGATTGATTTAAAAATCAAAAAATAATAATTTGTTTTGTAGTTTTATATAAATTTAAAATGTCTAAATTATAATAAGAATAACTACCTATTAATAGGTATAATTCATAATACTAAAATGACGTATCACAATTCACCAATGAAAAAAAGTGAGCCCCCCCCAGAAAAATTGTCTGGATTCAACACTGAATACAGTTTTACACTCTGTAACTATGTGACAAGTGAGATAATAAATTCATACTTCATAGCGTTTATAATTGAGACAATTGAAGTACACTTTAGCAAGAGTGCAAGACAGAGGTAAAAAAATTATAAATGTGTAAACAGTTTCACATTTGAACGGATATTATATTATGTCGTAATATTCATCAACTGCAGATATGAATAATATGATGAATGATAATAAAATATCTAATTTTACTTTTACATTTTAGTACCAAATTAAGTTTGTTTTTTAATGAAATTTTTCCCGTTGAAATAAATACCTGTGTTGGTACTGTTTAAATTTCCGAATAAAGCACAATATAAGCACACATGGCTAAAAAAATTCCATATACAAGTGCCTACCATAGTTTGAACATATTATATTATAATCTCCTTTTCATATCTTGCTGATTGTTTTGTAACGTCTTCGTAAAGGATTCCTTTTGTACTCTTATTAATTCAAACTATTTTAAGCATCAAACAGCACATTAAAAAAAAAAAACGTCAAAGCGGCTTTCTTAATATTATTATTATTATTATTATTATTATTATTATTACAGTGTCTTTATCCATTAGTATGTAAAATATTTACACGTATACATGTAAAGTGTCTCCTTGTACCTAGTTGGTTGTCGTCAGCCCTTGATAATCTTTTGGATTATATACAAATTTTGTCACATATTTTACGTGCATATCAAAAATRTTAAATAATATTAATGTACCTGTATACGATACACATTTAGGCTCATCATTTTGGCGTTAAAGGTTCTCTATAACAATATTTAAGCTAACACACACATTATTGTTGATATTAATTGTGACTTTAATATTAGTATAATATTAAGTACTTTGTTTGTACGGCAACATATAACCTAGCCGGAAYAATAAAAAATGTATGGTTAGTGTATACTGAATACTGATGTATTGTACAAAACCAGTACATCCGTAATGTACATTATCGGTACTAACATTATGTCACCAATAATTTATGCTTGACAAAAATATAAATTTAAATATACAACTTTTGTATAATAGTCAATAAAGTACAAAATTATTCATAAAATGTAATTATTGTCTGTATATAATTTGTTATGTGTTATATTTTTAGGTCAAGGTTACTTTAAAACTCTAAAGTTAGGTTAGTGTCGAGTGATATTAGAGATAATAATATATAAAATGTGTATTGTGTATCAAATTTTTAACACAAAAACGCATTTCGAATTTAGGCATATGATATTATTTACATATTACATGTTTCAATTAAGTGCATTAATTTCAACATTAGGTATATTTTATTTTCCTATTAGTTTTCATTATTTTATTTTTATATTAATAATTATTTCTCGGTTTTTAAATATTTAAAATATTTTTTTTTTTTTTTATTGGGGTTGAGGTTTCAACAGCAAGGGCCATTATCCTGGGGAACTGTGGGGGAGGAACTGTTGGTTTTAGAATTCCCTAAAATTAATTTATAAAGCTGCATTGTAATATTGTCAGATTACATCATATTTTCCAGCATACAAATAGTAGTGTTATTTTAACATGCGCAAGGAAATATTATCCTTGGTAAAGAGTTTTTATAGAAATAGGTATATGATAACTGATMAGTAATACTTTATTKCTTTATTATTGATTAACCCGTGGCCACATGAACTATTGGGTGATTATTTTTAGTAGGTTTTTTTGAACTGTGCGGTTGGTTTGGTACACGTACAATGTGCATGTGTGATAAGGTTTTTATCAATAAGAATCAGGATGGTCACCCATCCGGAAACAAKTGGCAGTGAGCGGTGCGTACATTCAAYCACGTTRCGTGAWTGATCGCAGCAATCGCGCCACGCCAA